ACACAGATACCACACCGCCAAATTCCTCATCTTTTTCCTTTGGGTACGAGTTGCCGTCCACTATTAGCCGACTCCCTAAATCTTCCACCTCCACGATCCGACCTTCTTCCTCTGTGAGCAGTGGTCCATATTTCTTCTCACGAAATTACACCGCGCGGCCGGAGATAGGTAACGACTTAATTTGTTCACTGGGTCTCGCACCCACAGCGAGAGCTGCTCTGTTCCTCGGGTCTCGAGGCTCCACTGTCTCAATCATTACCCGCGTTCCGTCTGGCTTCCTAATGGACAATGTTTGGCTCCCATCAGGTCGCTCTATCATCACCGCATGCACGTGGCTCAGCCACGTTCGACCCAAGAGCAGGTCGGAGCTGCAGTTCTTGACTGCAAAGACAGGCAGGGTCACTCGTACCCCTTGGACCTCTATGGCTGCCTTGTGACAAACCCCAGTGATCTGTTGCTTTCTCCCATCAGCCGTCTCTATCTCGAAGAGGTATGACCTATCGAGGCCTAGTCCAACCTGTACTGCCAGGTCCTCGTCTATGATGACAGCCTCACTGCCGTTATCGATCACAGTATCGAGTATCGCTCCATTGTTTATAATCGTCTCCATGGCCCCGCTACCAAGTATATAAAACTTGTCTGGAGACACACCTTCCATTCCATCGAGAAGGACTGTCGCCATGCGATCTGCTCTGGCAGTCACCCCCGTTACTGCTACTGTAGGAGCTTCCGCCTTAGGGGCCCCCTGACCCTCCTCCGATAGAGGTATTCGAGTCTTCCGCGTGATCATCTGTAACTCATCACGAGCCGGCTTCGATGCCGCCAGGTACTCCAGAATAGAGCACTGCATGGGTTGCCGAAGGGCCCGCCTTAGTGGCTCGACCGTGTTAATCTCGTCCAGCGAACTCTTCATTAAGAACTTCTTCACTCCCCTCTTTCGCAGCGAAAGGATAACCTCCTCTCCATCGACCCGCTGCCCGTCCCTCTCCGTCATCACGTAATCTGTGTCAGTCTTCTTCGATGTAAACCCTCTCGCCTACTTGGTGGCTGCCACCCTTATGGGTGTGGTCGCCATATCCCCCTCAAAGGTTATCTTGATGCTTTGGCTCCTGACCGGCTCCTTTTCTTTACTCGGCTTTACTTTCCTCGCTTCGACATTCTCCTTCATCGAACCCACTTGACGTACTTGCGGTCGTCAAGCACGACAAGTCCCTCATCTATTGCTCGTTTGAGGTCCGAACAATCCCTCTTGATATGATCTTCTCCTCTACAGTAAACGCATGAGTTCCTGGGAGTAGATGACCTGTCGTCTGCGCTTCTCAAGATCGAACTCCTGGCTGCCTTGGGGTCAGGCGACTTGGGATATGGTTCTGATGAGACGCCATATTCCCCTCTCTCATTCCGACCGCGCGAATCGTTGCGGCGGTCTCCTCCAGACCCTCCTTGCTCATACTGCCTTCGCGAATCATTTCGGCGGTCCCCTGAGTCATATCGCCCTCGTGTCTCATCGCGTCGGTCCCCTCGGTTGTACCACCCCCGCGACTCATCGCGCTGCTCTCTCGCATCTCCCTCGCGCTCAAACCGTCCGCGCGACCCGTCTCATCGTTCCCAGTCCCGATCTCCTCTTTCATACCTACCTCCTCTGTAGCCATCTCGACCCGACCTCTCGTATCTGTCGTCCCTATACCTGTCTCGGTCCGATCTCTCGTATCTGTCGTCCCTATATCCATCTCGGTCCGATCTCTCGTACCTGTTGTCCCTATATCCATCTCGGTCCGATCTCTCGTATC